CTATCTGAATATTGATTTTCAGAGCTAAAATTTTCATGGGATTTTTTTGTGTAAATTTGGAAACATTTGAATCCTAGAGAACGAAGAAATTCGAAACTGTCCATATTAAGGACCACCCTAATAGGTATTATAGAAAGTGTTCTTGTTTAATATAATAGACTTATATTAACAATATTTGTTCGACCATATTTTGCTAATATAATTAAACTGTAAGTTTTACCCACTTTGTATGGAATAAATCAAATCAAGTATTTTTTGGTTTTACCATTACATTTATTGCAAATTCTGGTATATTTAAAGAATTATATAGTCAGTGCAATTTCCAATAAATTCTTTCACATTTGCAAAACAGTGTGCCACAAATCCAAAAAGTGTATTTTCATATTAACATTCCAAAAAAAGTTGATACTTTGAGTTTCTAATAATACTTGCGACCCGTCTAAAGGATGTCGAAATGTTCAGAAACCTTTGAAACGTAAACATATGCAAAAACTTGATTATTTGCTATTACTCTAACTTACCATACGGGAAGTTAATAAAATAACTTGCTACAGTTAAAAATAATATTTATCTAAAACAACCCTATTGAATTTAGTTGAAAATATTTTGTGAAAATCATTCGACATTTGACGTATGAGCTGCCATTGAATGTTTCATTTTGAATTAGGCTTCTACAAAAAAATTTCAGATTATTAATGTAAATTGTTTACGCGGTTTTGAAATAATTTCTCACCTTTCCCACAACGTCTGCATTAGCACACATATTTCAAGAATAAAAGTGGCCAAATCGGTTCAGTCGTTTTCGAGTTTCAGCATACCTAACATAATATGGAGCTCCATTTTTATATGAAAATATATATAATACATTATATTCTATTAAATCTAGTTGAATGTTATTTGTCAAAACCATTTGACATTTGACGTATTAGCCGCCCTGCATTGTTTTATTTTAAATTTAGGTTTCTACAAAATATTTTAAATTAAAATGTGAAGTATCTACGTGATTTTGAAATAATTTCTCACCTTCACCACCACCTCTGGATTATCACGAATATTTCAATACTAAAATGGACAAATCGGTTTAATCGTTTTAGAGTTTTAGCGTACCTAACATAAAATTGAGCTCAATTTTTATATTTAAGGTATTTAAATCGTATTAAATTTAAAGTATTGAAGTTAAACATAATCTAATCAAATCATTTGATATTTGACGTATGAGCCGCCCTTCATTGTTTCATTCTAAATTAGTCTTCTACATAAAATTTTGAAGTAAAAAATGTTTTGAAATAATTTCTCACCTCTACCACAACTTCTGGATTAACTCGAATATTTCAAGACAAAAAGTGGCCAAATCGGTTCAGCCGTTTTCGAATTTTAGCAAACCTAACATAATGCCGAACTCCATTTTATATGAGAAGATATATAATACATTTACATTCTATTAAATTTAGGTGAACATAATCTGTCAAAACCATTTGATATTTGACGTATGAGCCACCCTGCATTGTTTCATTTTAAATTAGACTTTTACATAAAAAATTAAATTAAAAATGTAAAGTTTCTACGTGATTTTAAAATATTATTTCACGTTTCCCACAACTTCGGGATCAGCACACATTTTTTAACAGTAAAAGTGGCCAAATCGGTTCAACCGTTTTAGAGTTATTAATAATTACTTTATTGAATACAAAAATAAAAATCAGTATAACATATCCAGAAATGAAGTTTTGCATGATAGACCATAAGAAAAACTAAAAGTGAAAAAAATTAATGCAACAAATCAATTAAAAAGAATTTTTTAGCACTAATTAAAGCAAAATTAAGTAAGTACATTGGAAAAAATACAAATTTGAAAACAAAGATGTTTTTTCCCCGATATAACAACTGTCACAATCTATACATTCAATTTTATAAACTGAGTAGATAACTTTATGAGAAAAAGTTTTGGAATTTATAAAAGAAAAAAAGTACTTTAGTACCTATATTAAGAATTGTTTAATCTTACACTTTTTATTAAAAAGCATTTAATAATATATTTAATAAAATTTTTATCCGTTTTTGAAGTAAAACTTCTTTAGGCGCGAATAGGGAGTAAATCTGTACAAATGCAACGGAAGTTGGCTCAACTATATCTTATTATTAATATTCTCAGATAATTAAATTAATTTAGATAATCAAATTTATCTAAAAATCTATTCAACTTTTGTAATACAACATGGAACATATAATTCAAAAAAACTATTTATTATTTATTACCAAATTATTTATTTAAATAAATTTTTGCTGTATTTAACTTTTTTTTAAAGATAAATCCTTAATATAAAACAGCACTGTGAAATATTAAAAAATGCAGAGATTGTGGAAAAGGTGAGATATTACTTCAAAACTGCGTAAAAACTTCCCATTTTCAATTTAATTTTTTTTTTGTAGAACCCTAATTCAAAATGTAACAATGGAGGGCTGCTCATACGTCAAATGTCAAATGGTTTTGACGTATTATGTTCAATTATATTTAATAGGATATTTTGGATATCTTATTAATTTATATGTATCTTTTTAGTATTTGGTTACAAAAAAATAGAATATATTAGTCATAACATTTTAATATTAAGTTCGAATTTTTGTGTCTAAAAACATTTTTGATATCTCTAAAAGTTAATTCAAGATTCGCGTTTGTTTGCGAGGTCGCAACAAGAGTTTTATGATACGAAATTAAATTTAAGATCAAAATTAGAACAGATTTATATATACATAGCATTTGATGTTACTTAAAATAAAAAATAAAAAAAAGTTTCAGAAATAAAAATTCTCAATGGCATTCATAGAAATTGACCCAGAAAAAATTAAATAAAAGTATTATAAAAATTTATTAATTGTCGCTATGTTATTTTCTGACACAGTAACAGTTTTGGTTTCGGTAAAGTATAGAAAATTAAAATAAACATTCGAAAATTATTCGGAAATTTGTAATCATAACACTTACTAAAAATAATCCGACATAGTCTAAATATTTATGTTCACACTATCGTTGTAAAACTTCTGAAGAATCGCAGAAAAAATAGGCGTTTTAATGTTTGTTTATTGAATAACTTCTTCAAATCGAAAGATACATTGCTGTACTATTTATAGTATAGCAACCGAAATCGTTAAAATCGATTTATATGTATAATGTTTGTGTCACGTGATGTCGTCCGGAATAGACACCTAAACTACTGAACCGATTTTAAATTTTTTTGACTCAATTTGTGCACTCAAGTCTAACTTAGGTTATAGGCTATAATAAAAATCTTAGTTCAATTCAGAAATATTAAAAATTTAGAAATTTCGATTAGTTTTGACAGTAGGAAACACTGTGAAATGACAGTTGTCAATGTTTCTGAGAA